AAGATTTTGTTTAAAAAAAAAATACAAACATTCCAATTGAATTGCATCCCTCACGAGGACACATGCTCGGAGTTATTCGGAGGTGAATTCCCTTTTTTTTCCCCCACTCCGAAGATTTGCGTCTATTTAATCATAGGAGGGGGTGTGTGTCGTGGGTGTGTTACGTGTGGCAAAACGGCAAAAGGACAAACGGCTCTTCTCGTTCGTTTGACGAAAGAGGCGAGGGAGCGGGCACCGGGCCCGGTCCTGCGGTGGTACGCAGTAACGGGGTAGCCTGACGTCGCGATTCAATTAATTATCCACATAATTACGAGCACCGTTCGCCCACCAACCGAAACCGCTTTCCATGATATTAAACCAACGACCCCAAGAATCGATCCAAATTTATTTTATCTATATGTATATATTTTATAATACAATTAATTATTATTATTATTATATTCGATCGTCTATTTTTAACATTAGAATAAAATTTATCTTATTTTATTCTAATTTTATTCAATTACAGGTAAAATTAAATACCATCAATACAATTAATCGAATTATTTGATTAATGTGTGTGTTTGGTTATTATTTCTTTATTTTTTTGCCATCTTGTTCTATAATTTTTTTTTTTTTTTTTTTGAACAATGATGCTTCCTTTTATCTTGTAAAAATTAGATAAATTTATTTTCTTTTAATTTTATTAAATTAAAGATAAAATTTAAAAATTATCAACACAGTTATTATATATAATAAATTATATATATATATATATATATATATATATGTGTGATTTTATTTTTATATTTATTTTTTATCTCATACAATTATTATTTAAGAAATTAATCGAACTATTTGCTTGCAAAAATATTACGTGTGTGGTTATTTTAATTTTTAATTTTTTTTTTGTTTCATTTCGTTCTATATTTGTTCATTATTAATTTTTTTTTTTTTTAGAACGATAATGGTTTCTTTTATCTCGTAAAATTTGTTTAAAGTGTCACAAGTAGATTGACAAAATGAAAAAAAAATTGTTAACCAAAAAAAAAAAAGAAATCGTAAGTTGGATCGTTAATAAAATCACACGTAAAGTCAGAAAGGATGTAAGAGTTATTTCCGGCCAATTGCTTGAACGTAGGGAGACATTTTCGAAGGATGCCGTGAGGTAATGGTCCTGGACGGAACAGATTTTACGAGCCACACGCCAATCCTTGTCCTGTCTCGTAGCCTCGAGGGATTATGGTGGCTTAAATTCACTAGCGCATCGACTAAAAGTATCTCCGAGCGGGAATACTCTTGCTGATTCGTTTTACGTTCTCGCCTTAAGCGTCGTATCTTCCGTTTCACGCGTTTAAAGTATTTGCCTAAGCGTTTTTTTACCCTCCGGATAGGGAATGGTGAAGATAAGGTGGGGAGGTTTGTTACAAACCGCGTTGCTTTTTCGAAAAGAAAAAAAAAACAAATTACTTTTGTATCGTCTTTTGATTTTTCAATTTGATCTTTTTTTATTTTCCCCCTAGCCCAAAATTTCATCTAATATATAATATTTTTTTTTATTTTTTATATTTAATATCTTGTATATTTTATAATATAATATTTTTGTACTCTTTATTTTTTAAATAGTTTTAAAAAATGTAAAAATAAAAATTTACAAAAATGCGATTCAAAGTAATGAATTTTTGTAAAATTGTTTATTCTTAGTTTTGATCTTTCTATTTTTTTTTTTTTTTTTTTCTTAGGTCTACTATGGTTTCTATCTTATTTTAGTTTATTTTTTTTAGATCGATATGAATTACCATCGAAAATATATTAAAGTTACACCGAGAAACAAAGGAAAATGAATAGTTGGCAAGATTTTTGAACGAAGAGAAAAAAAGAACACAGTATCGTTTATTCTGAAAACTAGTACAAATCGTAAAACCTGGCTAACGTTTTAATTGGATTAAAATCAATATCCCGGTTGGACATAGTCGATGACAAATATCTAATTTTGTGATACATTGCATGTTTTAACGAAGATTAATCGAACACGTATCTATATACACGTAAACAAACACATATAAACACAAATAAACGATAAACGATCAACGATCCATTACGATTTATTTATTTCATTATTTTCTTCTTGTGTGTCACATAGTTATTATTTACAATAAATACAAATTTCTTAAATAATAAAAGTATTTTTCAATTCAATTATCTGTAATAATTGAAATTACTCATGATTTTTGTTCTATGTGATGTTTTTGTGATGTTTTTTTGATCAAATAATTCGATTACTGTTTTTTGGTTTAAATGAAAGAACGAATAAAAAAATTAATGAAGAATTATATTGATTGATATTGAAGACGATCGATTGATCGATTCTTAATAACGTCGTGGGTATCGATTAAGGGCGAACGACGATTCGTATTTTTGAAATATTCGGGACCATCAATACGTGGATTATCACGTCGATGTGACGGTTAACCACATAAGAGGGCCCCGAGATCGATGTATACAGTGGCAATCTATAAATACCTAATACTAATTAATCTAATAGCTATGAGAAAGATAATAGTGGGTTAAGAAAAAAATAAACAAGCTTGTCACTATGTTCATTTTTCATAATAAATGATATTTTTCCATGTAACGTATCGACATTTGTCATTAAACTTTCAATTATTACAAAATATAAAAATCCATTTTTATATATTATTTTATATAATTTATAATTATATAATAATTAAATATATACAAATGGGATTTTTTATATTTAATTTCGAAACTTTACATGTCAAATATTAAAACATTGCGACAAGCTTGTGAAATGTTGATTTTATTTTTTTTTTTTTTTTTTTTTTTGTTATTTTCTTTGAAAAATGAAAATGTGATTGAATTTTTATTTTTCTCTCGTTAAATTTTTTTTTTTTTAATATATAATTATTATATTTAATGCCAAAATGAGAGAAATAGAGACAGATGGATAGAATAGAATAGAATAGAATAGAATAGAATAGAATAGAATAGAATAGAATAGTATAGAATAGAATAGAATAGATAGACAGATAGATAGATAGATAGACAGAGAGATAGATAGATTGATAGATAGATAGATAGATATATAGATAAATCTATTACTTTTACGAGCTGACGATTTTTTTTTTTTTNGCTGACGATTTTTTTTTTTTTTGAATTATTTACAAATTATTTCACGGTATACATCACTAATTATTATTAACTATTTTTTATCTATTATCCTTTTTGTTATTTTACAATTATATTTTACAGGTTTAATTGCATAAAATTCAATTCAAAAAAATAAATCGACCAGCTCGTATATATATATAATAATAAAATATATATTTTGTGCTACGGGATTAAAAGTCAATGTATATAAAACTGTATATATATATACATATATGTAGTCATATATATATATATATTAAAACGTATGTATACATATTACAAATAGATGTGAGTGTATATATATATTATATGTAGTATATAATATATAATATTTAGATATAATATATAATTGTTTCTAATGTAAAAGTATGAAATAAAAATGCATGCAAGTATCAGGAAAATTGGGTTTTTTTTATATTGTGTTATATATATATACGCATATATACCTAAATTATAATAATAATATACTTTATAATAAAATGCAAAGCAACACTGGGGATAAATTTTACGTACCCTTAATGTCACTTAATTTTTTGTTTTTCTTTTACAAAATTATTCTCATTACATAAAATAGGATAAAAAAAAAAAAAGGATAAAAGAAAGGAAATAAAAAATCAAACATATATTTATATGCCATTTTTTTAATTAGAATGAATATTGAAAAAAAAATTTCGATCTACGATTCAATTAGCATTCTGTGAAGGTAAAATTAAAATGAAAAAAAAAAAATTGAAAAGAAAAAATCTTTTTTTTGGGAGAGGAATAAAAGTAAAAAGAAGAAAAAAAAATGAACCAAAAGTATTCATTTCGAGCTAGCATTAAAAGCGCTAGAAAAGTTTGCAAAGCAGCATAATAATCCTAGTATCTTCGTGATGTTTCTCTGAAACATTCTCAAAATCTTAGTCTTTTTATTTTTTATTATTATTATTATTTTTTTTTTTTTTTAATATCTCTTTCGTTAATTTTTTATATCAAAGAGAAAGTTATATTTCCTTCTTTCATTATTTTTTTTCATTTTTCATTTTTCTTTTAACGAAACGCGACGGATATTAAAAGTTTTTGTTATAAAAAATAATCAAATATACGACTCACTCTTACGTTTACGTGAAAATAAAATAAAATAAAATTGTCCCGATAATATTTATATATACAAAAAATTCTTTTTACATTGAAAAAGAAATACACGCGTATGTTGGACTAATCCGAAACCGAAGCAAAAAAAGGAAAAAGAAAAACACGAATATTCAATTTCCGTTAACGCACTACCACCTCGCGTCGTCATTTTCGATCGATTTTCATTCGAATTATGAATACACGTCTGTCGTCTCTTCACTATCACGAATTACATAAGTACATACTATTGATGAATTCAATTAGATATTATTAATTAAACGTTCACGTGTGTATTTTGTCAAATTTAAAACTAAACTTAATTACGTTGCAACCGCGACATTGCGTTTATTATACTTCAACGATCACCAAATCGAATTATTATAATTGACACGACTTTTCAATTTACTCGATTCTGTTTATTCTATTTATTTATTTATTTTTTTATTATTTTTATTATTACTTTTTATTTAAATATATAAATTGGACGATCATCTATCCTAAATTTTTTAATTTAATTTCCGATTTTTTTTTTGTATTGATACACGTTGACTTTAATTACGTACGATTAAGGTTTGTATTTTTTTGATTTTGTTTAATGAATATTACGTTTACGCGTTAATAGATTAAACCGTGATCAATGGTAAACGTATATTGACGACTTAATGTCGAGAGAATTTTACGAAATCCGATATTACGAGCTAAAGCAATTTGGCGTAAGCGTAACGTGACCAGATTACCTATTGTACATGAGGATATCAGGTTTCCAAAGCTTGTTCGGTGTTATATGGACGTCTTTTACTCCACCATACTCCGTTTGATTCCACTGGAGATTATAATCGGTCCACGACTGTAACAAAAAGAAAAAAACAAGATACAATTTTATTAATTATCTCATTAACCATACACATCAACAAAAAATATTGATGATCTGAACGATATATAAACAAGTTTGAAACTTTTCGATGATAAACGTCACGTATTTATTATTATACTTGTCACATTTATTTTCATTGTAAAAGATAATAGAATCATTGAAGTAAAAAGTTTATTTATTAATAGAAATGTTTAGATAAAAATTTTGTTGATAGTTGATCAATAATGTGCTATGATTTTGTCAATTAACATGCCTTGCATTATTTTTGTAATTTATTGTATCATTTTTAATATAATTATATATTTATCAAATATAATTTCTAAATAATATTTATATAATTTTTTTGTTAATTATTTAACTTTTTTATTATACTTAATTTATTATTATTATAATATTTATAAAATTAATCATAATATTAATTTCTATTATATTTAATATATTTTAATTAATTCTAATTTTTATAATAATTACAATACATTATTAAATATAATTTAATAAATATATAATTATGCATTATATTTATTTGTAAAAATATAAAAAATATTACTTGTTAAATAATAAAATTACTTGGGTTAGTATTCTTTTTTTTTTTTTTATAAG